ATAAGTTTAACATAACAGCAAATGTACAACGTTTTGACAAGGTTTTGTACCGGATGTTAAACTTACTTATATTAAAGTTTTTCTTCATTACCCATTCAAGCCGTCTCCAAGCAAACTTAAGGTATGTTAAATTAACAAAGATACAATTGTGTTAAATGTGTTGTAGGGAAAATAATGCTAAACAATTGTTATCGATTTACTCACTTTTTAAATATTGCATGCAGGTTGAAAGGTAACCTTTAATTGTCTTGTGTAAAAGGTGATTTCTAATTGCAAAGGACATGACAGTTAGTGGAATTTAAAGTGGGCCACTGTTAATTTTTTTATATATGAAACACTGATACATCTCTTACCAGTAGTTTATTATAGTTACCTCATTTGTTTTTAAACAGTTACCGCTACTGTAAAAACAAGCCTTACCCCAAGTCACGTTTCTGTCGTGGTGTTCCTGGTGAGTTGATTCCATTGAAATACTTAGAAATAAATGCCATCTTCTAAAGTTTATGTTAATATTCTTTATCTCTGAGGTAGTTTAAAGTGCTTAAAACTTAGTGGTGTTATATAGTGCAAGTTTTTTTTAAAAGTATTCTCATAGATTTTTATCTTTTGTTTCAAGATCATTCTTGATAAATTTTATTGATATTAAATCTATGCATTTATTTAGATAGCCATAAAGTCTAGTACACATTGTATCTTGGTTAAGTTAAAAAAAATTAAAGTTTTAAAACTAAATAGTTTCAAAACAATTGCATACAATAAAATTCAGTACAAAATTTCAGATCCAAAAATTAGAATCTTTGATCTGGGAAGAAAAAAAGCGAAGGTGGATGAATTCCCTTTGTGTGTCCATCTGGTGTCCTATGAATTTGAACAACTGTCTTCTGAAGCACTTGAAGCAGCTCGGATCTGTGCTAACAAGTATCTTGTTAAGACTTGTGGGAAAGATGCTTTCCACATGAGAGTTAGATGTCATCCTTTCCATGTGCTTAGAATTAACAAAATGTTGTCATGTGCTGGTGCTGATAGGTGTGTAAATTAAAAATCTGCACGGACTTAGCATTTATATAGGTTATTTCTGATAAATTATTTTAAAGTTTGTGTACTAGGAATAAAGTTTAACTTCATTTATTGTGAATTATATGTTCTCTTAAGCTTCAGTTATTTCAACAGTAATTTTTATATATTTAATCTGTAACCTGTATTGTTAACTGCATTAACTCTTTCACTGTAGGCTCGGTCACTGGGACCAACCTCGTACCAATTTTGTGCTTGTTATAGTTTTGATGTTCTAACTTTTAATACAGGATGCGTATCTTCATCAAATTTTGCAGATTATCAGTAAACATTACAAGGCTTTCGTACACAAACTATCAGATTTTTAAATTAAGTTTAAGATTTTTTTTTAATTAATGTTTTTCTCGTGAATTTTTTTTCTTTTCAAATCTTGACTACCCAACTCTCAGACAATAATCATATGTTTTTTTAGGAAAATATTTATATTTTATCCTTTATTATCACTATCATATCTGAACAGTTTGGTTGATTTGATCGAACTTGTAACCACTATTAAAAAAAATCGGGAAACAGATATAAATTATGCTTTTTTCTTTTTGTTCTAGAATAACTCCAAATTACAACACAAAACACAAATGTTTATTCTAAATAGGTTAAATCTCATAAAATTATACATTTATTTTTATTTTATTGACCTTTCAGCCATGCCTGACTAACATTACAGAAGTTGCGGTGCTACTATAGCGTGAGGTCTACCGCCATATGTCACCTACCCAGGTCTATCAGACATGTATAAAAATGTATCATACATTTCCATACATTTATTTTAGCGATAAACACTTAATTTGATACATTTTTATACATGTTTGATAGACCTGGGTAGGCGACATATGGCGGTAGACCTCACGCTATAGTAGCACCGAAGTTGCAATGACAGGGTGCACATGCACTCGTGTTACTGTAGCCAAGAATATAAAACTGGCCTTTACAAAGTGACATGTCTTGCTGTGTTCTCGTGGACCAGTATTTTGTAAAATGCAGTCACATTTCAGTTGTAATACATTATATATGTATATACATTATTACTATTTACAAATAAGTTCTTAAATTTAGTTATTTTTCTTAAAACAGTAAATGAAGAAGTATACAAAACAATGATCTCTTCTACTTACGAATTTTGTAGTTATTTGCTGCTTGCCAAGTTGCTAAGCCTTATCAAATTTCACACATGGAGGATGTACAACAAAATAATTTTTTAGGTTTTATATATGCATTTTGAAATGACAAAAAAAATCATAAAACACTATCAATACCACAGAATTCCACTATAGTTTATCAAGTTTGTAACTAACTGTAGTTGGGTCTAAAAATATGATTTTTTGAGCTCACCAGTGACTTATCTTACCATTTGGAATCTAGCATAAAAAGAAAGTTTCCTGTGCAAATACTTCATAGAAACTGAGAAAACCACTAGGGGAACATTCTGAACTTTTCATTGTTTATCTTACATTCTAGCTTGTCAATATCAGTAATTTAAGTATCTAATTCATGAGAAACTATAGACTTTGTATTTGGACATCAGAAACATCTAATTTGAACCAATGCTGCATTCAACATAACACCTGACACACAAAAATCAATATTTAGGATTTTTAAGAAATTATCTAATTATTCACAATTTGATACAAACATGATGACATGGCCTTTGACCCGTGACCATAGGTAAACCTGTGTTGGTAGGGTTAAGACAGTATCTGAGAGGATTTCTTTTGTGTTTAAAGAAATTGTAGAACATATGATATACATAATAAATATTAGCGGTTATTTCATCTTCAGATAGTGTAAATATTTTTGCATAAAGACTATTCAAAACTTGAAACATAAAACCAATAAATCTAATAGTTGCATACAATTTAAAAGGAAAGGGTAGTATCAGGTTTTCATACATGTGTTTATTGGAGCTAATAATTTTTTATGTAATAGAAATTAAACACACTTGGAATATGAAAACTTTATGGATTACTTTATTAAATGAATCAGGTGATGTTTACGAAGCTCTCGATGTCTTACAAAATACATTTCAATAAAAATTTTACCTTTGGTATGATATTTCAATAATGTTACATCACGTTGGTTCTTTATAATTCATTTCTATATGCTGTTTATTTTTAAAGATTGCAGACTGGGATGCGTGGAGCTTTTGGGAAACCTCAAGGTACAGTGGCTCGAGTTAATATAGGTCAGATCATCTTTTCTGTCCGGGCCAAAGAACAGCACAAGGAAAATGTCATTGAAAGTTTGAGGAGAGCCAAGTTTAAATTTCCCGGTCGTCAGAAGGTGAGAACTGAAATATACAGGATTTAAATTTGAGCAATAAAATAATTTAAACTTTTCCAGTGTTTCCAAAACTCACAAGACATGATTCTGCTGTTAGTAACAGATTAAATGTTGTTCTGTTATTTCAGTTGTCAAAGGGTTTCTCTCTGTTTACCTATGATTCTGAACTTAATTATTATTTGTATTTTGTCTTTTTACAATTTGTATTCAATTCAGCTATCTGTAGTACAGACTTGGGATTTTTCTACAGCCATTGAGTGGATATTCTTTATGAAGTTTGACTTGGGACCACTTCTCTGTTTTTCAACTCCACCAATGATTTTTTAATAGAATTATGTCTTTACAATTTTTCAGGGTAGTTATGAACACATACAAGGTTATTTTGTACCATAATGCTTTGTGTTAGTAAAATGACAATTTCATTTAATTTGTTATAACTTTTCTCCATCAAGCGTTGGTGTAACAGTTTTTAAAATAAAGAAGATTTAACTGTAGCTTTTTTGTTCAAGGTGTACGTTTCACGTAAATGGGGTTTCACCAAATGGGATCAAGCCGATTATGAGAAAATGCGGGCAGAGGGAAGACTGAAGCCAGATGGGTTCTACTGCAAATATTATTCCAACCATGGCCCGTTGTCAGAATGGAAGAAGATGCAAAGAGAAGTTCGTGGGATGGTTTAAAACATTTTCAGTACTGTACATGTAGGATTTATTCCCACAGTAATTGATATTTGTGCAGTGTCTAATAAAAGATTCAGTTGAAAATGTATCTGAATATTCGTGTACATTTTTACTTAAATTTTAAATGAATATTATGATGTTCTTATAAAAATTAATTTTGCAGGTTTTAAAATTTTCCAAAGGAGTGGATAAAGCTATGAATTTTATTTTGTTGTGAAAATATAAAAGTGCTATTAACGTAATAATGACAAAAATAAATAATTCCATTTAAACTTGGTTCAATTGAAATATTCGGTGAGGTTTAAATGGGGTTCCCAGATTTTTGACGGCAAAGTGTAAAACTTTAATTCGTGTAGAACAACATTTAAGATCTAGATAATTTTTAGAGGTTTTTGCTGCCAAAAATCTATGATCAAAAAATTAATCTTGTTGTTAAAAGTATACTTGCAATATTTTTGCCATAAGTGAGTAAATTTAATTCAAGGTAAAAAAAAAAGTGTTATTATCACTAGATTAATTCTGATTTGAAAGTGACTCATAAAATTGATAAAAATTACACTTAATCTAGTCCATACCTTAAAAGTTGCTCATGTAATTTGATAATATACATATCATCTCAACAACTATCATGTTTCTTATACCAGTAGCCATGGTGGGCGTTGTGGTGATAGGCGAAAGGCCTCATTGGCACTAAATGTATCAAGTGTAGAGTTGTTGATATATTTTTATAAATTCTTCTTTACGTCCAGTCATAAGTTCTTAGAATTACTAACGTAGTCTCTCCCTATGATGCTGTGGTTGCTTATCCTGTTCGGGAAGAGTGGGACTAACTTGATGGTTTGCCCATTTTTCTGAACAGTAGGTAAATTTATTTCAAGAAAGAAAAAAGTTACTAATACGATGAAACCTTTTCCATCAAGACATTCAGATTGTCGAATTGGTCATTTTAAATTTCGATCGATAAATGTCCTTTAAACGTTGCGGCAATCTTTTGGAATACCCAGACTGTGTTTCCGCAAGCCCTGAAAGGGGTCGGAGCAAGTGCGGTTTACTCCGACCCTCGTGTAGTACTAACCATCAAC